TTTTTTTTATAATTATATAAATTGAATGCAATTATAATAAATAAATAAATTTTTTAAATATCTTTAAGCCTGCATATGATCACTACAATTATGACTATATAAGTAGAATTTCTCTATAATTTTAATAAATAGAGAAAAAAAAGATTAAAGGAAAGATGATTAGTCTATTATATTCATAACAGGTAGTGCTCAGAAAAAAAATACTAAACTTAATATTAACAATGTTACAACAAACTATATATATAATTAGTTGAATAATTTTTTTAGGAGGTGGAACAAAAGCAACGACAGCATCCCTTTATATTAAATTTGATGAAATGAATTTTTATATTTTCTTGTTTTCAGTTGAGAGCCGTCAAAGTTCTCCAAAAAAGACGAAGCAAAAAGCCAAAGAAATATAAAAGAGGGAAGAAAAAATCAATAATAACTTATGGCTTTAGATTTAAATTCCTTTTATTTATTTTATCATCTAATACAATTCACAATGAATAATTAATCTCATTTATAAAGAAATGATAGATGTACATCTTGTTTTAATCTTCTTAAATTCAAGTTTAATGGAGTAGGTAGTATAATTTTGTAAAAATTATTCAAAATGCCATACTTATATAATACCTAGTCATTGTGGAAAATATTACTTTATTATCTTTTATTTAAATTAGGTATTAAGAGATTTTATTATCTTTTAAGAGAGAAGGTAAAAGAATATTAGGTTATTATTTTGATTTAAATAATTATGATTGAGATATTAGTAATATTTGATATTTTGTAATATTTTTACTCTATATATACATAGAGTACATAAATAGAAATATACCCACATGATATATCAGAAATACATATACACAAAACCCTAAAATTCCCAACAAATTTGGTATCTGAGCTTTGGTTCGACACAATGGAAGGAGAATTTTTTTTTCACAAGTCGCTATTCCAGTTTTTATGGCGAAAGTTATGACTTATGGGCTGTGAGAATGCAATCCTATCTTGAAGGATTGAATGTATGAGAAACTGTAGAAGAAGATTATATTGTTGATCCACTACCTGAAAATCCCACCATAGCTCAAATGAAATCTTACAGAGAAAGAAAAACGAGGAAGACAAAAGCTAAATCATGTCTATTTGCTGGTGTTTCACAAATGATCCTCACCAGAATCATGACGCTAAAGTCACCCAAAGAAATTTGGGATTATTTGAAAGATCAATATGAAGAGGATGAGAAAATTCGAGGTATGAAAGTTCTAAACTTGATAAGGGAATTTGAGATACAAAAGATGCAAGAGTCTCAAACAATTAATGAATACTCAAACAAATTGTTAGGTATTGCTAACAAAATAAAATTGTTAGGCAAGGAATTTTCTGATTCCAAAATAGTTGAAAAAATTCTGGTAACTGTGCCAGAGAGATATGAAGCATCTATTGCTTCATTGGAAAACACAAAAGATTTGTTTAATATTACTTTGGCAGAAGTGCTACATGCTTTACAAGTACAAGAACAACGAAGATTGATGAGAGGAGATCATGCTTTACTATATCATGATGAAGGTTCTCTCCAAGCCAAGAACAACAAAGGTACAAAATCACGAGTCTTTTCTGTTTGTCCTTATTGCAAGAAAAATAATCACACACCCAACAAGTGTTGGTGGAGACCTAATGTGAAATGTTACAAATGTGGTCAATTGGGACATATAGAAAAAGTATGCAAATCATAACCAGAGGAAGTCGTTCAATTTATAGAGGATAAAGTATAAGAGGTACTTCTCCTTGCATTAACATGCTCTACAATCAACAAATCCACATGTTGGGGCTTATAGACAGTGGTTGTACAAACCACATGATTCATGATCGAAAACTTTTCAAAGAGCTCAACGAATCATATATTTCTAAAGTGAGAATTGGTAATGGAGAAGAAATGGATGTGAAAGGTATGAGAACAATTGCAGTTAAAAGTCATTCGGGTATCAAATTGATTTTTGATATTTTATATGTTCTTGATATAAATCATAATTTGTTAAGTGTCTCTCAGTTATTAGAGAAAAGTTATAAGGTGTCTTTTGAACACAAACTTTGTGTGATTAAAGATACAAATAACTTGGAAATATTCAAAGTTCACATGAAAGGAAAAAAATTTCATTTTAGATTTGATGAAAGAAGAGATGATTACAAATGAAGATATAAAAGAAAAGTCAAAGAAAAAGCATGAAGAAGATTTCTTGAAGGAATTTGATGTTAAAGAGAAAAATAAAGATGTAGATGAAGAAACCGTTTTCAACGTTCAACGTTCATCAAAGAGTCAACCGTACTACCATGAAGTTTGAAAGAAATAAAGGAGATGAAGTTGATAAAGAAAGAAATACTTTGATGAAGAAAGTGAAGTTGAATGAAGATGTGATCTCATACAAGAAAGAAGATGACAAGAAGTATAAACAAAAAATGAAGAAAAATTATAAGCAAAATAAAAGGAAAAATATCAAATTCAAATAAATAGATATTAAAGTAAGGAGGAATGTTGGAAATATTACTTTATTATCTTTTATTTAAATTAGGTATTAAGAGATTTTATTATCTTTTAAGAGAGAATGTAAAAAGACATTAGGTTATTATTTTGATTTAAGCAGTTATAATTGAGATATTATTAATATTTGATATTTTTTAATATTTTTACTCTATATATACATATAATACATGAATAGAAATATACCCACATGATATATCGAAATACATATTCACAAAACCCTAGAAATTCCCAAAAGTGATACCACTAGCATAACTAAAGTAAATAGGAGCTTGATTCAAATCTATCCTATGATTTGAGGTAATTCTAAACATTTTGTATAAACAATTATGAAAAATGTAAGAACTTTGTATATATTAAACATTTTCTTTTATAAAAAAACTCAACTATTTCATAAATATATAATTTGTTTAGGTGAGAAAAAAACCTTTTGGTATTAATTCGTTGAACCTCCAAAACATACACATATATATATATATATATATATATATATATATATATATATATATATATATATATATATATATATAATAATAGTAAAGAAAGTATACTTTCAAAATAAATTTCTTCTCTTTGTCAAAATTGAAAGAGAAAAAAAAAAAGAAAAACTTTCGTGAAACACATATAATTGTTGACCTACACGAGAAATAAAAATAATAATAATAATAATTGAAGTTTACTATAATAAAATGAGTAGAAAGAACAATGTGGGAGCAATAAAAGAGTGATTATTTTGAGTTACGCATGAGTTTTCGAACAATAACTAATATTGACTCGATTAAATTACAAAAGGAGGAGAATATATATAAAAACTAAAAAAAAATTATGATATATTTCTAATGCTTACCGATATATTAAAGTTATAATGTATATGTTGTAAACGGTTTATTTATTTTAAATTTTAATTCAATACAATTTATATATATATATATATATATAAATAATTTTTATAACTTTTATTTATTCAAAAGCATATATATATATATATATATATATATATATATATATATATGTTTGGAGAAAAGTGTATAGATATTTAATACTAGTTATCAAAAATTTGTTATAAACGAGTTTATTTATTCAAGGGCGAGAGGGTAGCTTATCATGTTCTTAAATAGTTCTAAGAAAACGTCATGTTAAAGATTTGAAACGTAAGAAATCCATATATTTATTCACTGATAGGGTGAAAAAATTTGTATTATTATTTAATAATAAAGTATTATATTTAACAAATAATATTACTTTTTGTAGTAAAGAGACTTTAGGCTAAAAGTGATTTTAATTAGTGGTAATTTTTTACAATTAAGAATATATCACATTAAAAATTAAATTTAAAATTCAAATATATGTTTTTAGTAATTAAAATTTTGGTACAGTGGATACCGTCAATAGGTAGTCACGGGATACACGAGCATCTAATAATCTATTTTTTATTTTTTCTGTTCGGTAACTTTTTAGCATCAGTGGATCAGTTTTCCTTTTTTCTTTTTTTTTTTAGCATTTTATCTACGACTTTTTAGACCCGTGAACCACACCTGGCCTTATATAATTATATTTTTGTTTTGAAAACAATGATGATTTAAAATAAGAATAATACTTTATAAAAGAAAGTTAAAAGTATATCTTTAACATCATGATGATTAAAAGATGTGTTAGGTGAACAACTACGCATTATTAAATTCATTAGTATATGTATCATTGGATTTGGTTTTGTTGTCACATATAACGAGATATTGAAAATTTATGTTGTGGACTTGGTTTCCAGCACTATATAAAATCAAATGTGATTTATTTATCATAAAATAAAATAAAATTGTTTAGCTTAAACTTTGTATGATTTATCGCTAAAAGCAAGTTTTTTTTGTGTTTTGTTTTAATTATCTTGATCAAAGACAAACTAAAAGTTAGTGATTGGATTCCTAAATGTAACCTTTATATATATATATATATATATATATATATATATATATATATATATATATATATATATATTTATCCATGTTCTTTCTGTTTTAATATATTTACCTATCAATGTGCAGAAAACTGAAAAATAGTTGTAAAGTGAAACATAACTATAGGAGTTTTATATTTGACATCTTATATTAAGGAAAATTTCTTTAGCAGCAAAAATTGATAATTGTTAATTGAAAATACTTATTGAATCATATATGTCGTGTGTTGTGTTCATTTACTAATCTTCATATATGTTTACGTTTTAAATATGTTAATTACTGATTAAAATAATCTTTAGTTAAACTGAGATAATTAATTAAGAGTGATAAAGTTCAATTTCTTAATCTCTCGAGCAATTTTCACTCTTGATTATGCTTGTCCTGACTAGTTGCCTGAGAATGTTTTGTTGGAGGATATGTTTTTTCTTTTCTTTATTTCATGGTGATGGGTTCAGGCCTTTGTTTCTATAAAACCCAACTCTGGTCTTTCATTTCACATGTTCATAGTTTTTGCTGGGAAAGTAGGGATAAAGATGGGAGGTGGTGGTAGAGTTTTATACGTGTTTCTGGCGGCATTTTGCTTCAAACTTGCTCAACATGCTTTTGTAAGTTGTGCTTTGACGTCTGAGTTGCAAAGCAAAATTGCAAAAGCCAACCAAGAGGGGCCTTATCTAGGTCTAATCATACCAAATTCTTTTGAACTTGACCCTCTTCTTCAGAACCCAGGCTACACACCAGGCGACACCATCATAGACTTCGCGGGTATATATATGTATATATATGTATATATAATACTCATTCAATTATAATTTTTTAAGGTCTCCTCTAATCCATGAAATATTTATTTTAAACTTTTTATGTATAATAATTAATGAAGGAAGGAGATTTCGGTTTGGAGCCATTGGTGACAAGCCTGTGATACTGGTGATGACAGGATTGAGCGTGGTATGGCTTCCTTTTCTTTTTGATCATGGTTAAATAATTTTTCCTTTATATTTCTATGCGAGTTACATATATTTTAATTGGAATATATATGTTTCTGGTTACTGAAATATGCAGATAAATGCAGCTATAACAACTCAGCTTCTGTTGGGTTTATTCACAGTAGAAGGAGTGGTGCATTACGGCATTGCTGGAAATGCAAACCCTTCTTTGCATATTGGAGATGTAGCCATTCCCAAACACTGGGCTCATCTAGCACTTTGGAGCTGGCAGGTATATATATATATATATATATATATATATATATATATATATATATATATATATATATATATATATATATATATATATATATATATATATACATACATACATATATATTTCAATAATTCTACACGGAAATGATCAAGAAATGTGAAAGATTAAGGAATGATTGGGGTGTTGTGCAGAGATATGGGTTAGGGCCTGATGATACATTACCCTTGGAAGACAATGGAGACTATAGGAGGGATATAGGGTACTTAAAGTTTGCAGATTTCACCTCAAACGTGAGTGCAGAAAGTTCAGCTGATAACCTATCACTAGTGCAGAATATGGCTTTTACGTCACCCAATTGTCGTCGCATGCACGTATATTCGACGTAAATAAAACGCGGTGGCAATTTTGTAAATATGGGACAAAAAATTTACGTCGCACACCCCAATAGGAGACGTAAAAAGTCATCTTTTACGTCGCACCTGGGAGGCGCGACGTAAAAGATGGCCTTTACGTCGCGCATGGGGACGCGACGTAAAAGCCTTAGCTTTTACGTCGCGCCCCTGTACGCGACGTAAAGGCCATCTTTTACGTCGCGCCTCCCAGGTGTGACGTAAAGATGACTTTTACGTCGCTTACTACACCGCGCGACGTAAAAAGTCTATTTTATTTCCTCCCAGCCCCACTTCCTCGTCTCGCGCAACCAGGGTTTTTGAGAACGACGACGAGAACAACGACAACAGCCTACCTCCGCACACCATTTGCGAGCGGCTTTACGGTGAAAAACATCTACATTGTCGTGTCATTTGACGAACTTCATCTTTCTCCCCGATTGGATTCGAGTTTGAAATCGCTTTCGTCTACACTCGAGGTTAGTGTTCATTGTCATTGCTATATGTTTACATTGAATCCGTGATTGTTTTTGGGGATCTCAATCACGTTATAGTATGAATGTCTCCACTCGGATTGTTATTGGAATGCAGCTTATTTGTTTATTTGTTTGAGTGCATTCTGGTTTACACACTCCATTGTTGTTGGAACGTGCTTTGTTGTTTGTATATTAATTTTTTTTTACATATAATTTTTAAATCTTTAGGAGTGACGAAACTTTATAACATAATATGAATCGAAGTTGGATGAATGCACGTCGTATTAGTGAAGAGTACGAAAAGGGAGTTGAGGAATTTCTAAATTTGCTAGTGAAAATGGAAAAGCTATGAAAGTGGACATATTATTGTCCATGTGTTCGTTGTTTGAATCAAATTCGTCATAAACTTGAGGATATACGTGATCACTTGTTTGTTTATGGTATTATTAAGAGTTATACAATATGGACATGGCATGGAGAAATATTAGACATCCCAACTGTGTCAACTACGTACAATTTTGATGAAGCGGATGGATGATAATCTAGAGGATATGATACGTGATATTGGTGAAGAACATTTTATGAAAGCACATCTATATGATTCTTTGAAATCTGATTTTGCGCAACAATTGTACATAGGATGTAGTTTTACAAGATTATCAGCAACTTTAAAATTGTTTACTTTAAAAGCAAGAAATGGATGGACTCGATAAAAGTTTCACCGAATTATTGGAGTTGTTGAAGGAGATGCTTCCCGAAGATAATACATTACCTATTCGTAACTATGAGGCAAAGAAGATATTATGTCCAATGGGTTTAGAGTACAAGAAAATACATGCATGTCCTAATGATTGTATATTGTACGTAAATGATTTTGCTAAATTAAAGATGTGTCCGACATGTGGTTTGTCGAGGTTCAAAACCAAAGTTGAGGAAAGTAGTGGTGAGGAAGAACTAGATGGTCCCCCTGCTAAGGTGTTATGGTATTTGCCAATTATACCTAGGTTTAAAAGATTATTTGCCATAAAAGAAGATGCAAGAAACTTGACATGGCATGCAAATGGTAGAAAATGTGACAATCTTCTTCGACATCCAACTGATTCTCCACAATGGAAAAGGATTGATGAAACCTTTCCGAATTTGGTGCAGAGCCAAGAAACTTGAGAATTGGATTAGCTACGGATGGGATGAATCCTTATGGAAATTTAAGTAGTAAACATAGTTCATGGCCAGTTATGTTGATCATTTACAATTTGCCTCCTTGGTTATGCATGAAGAGAAAATATATGATGTTATCTATGATGATTTCAGGACCTCGACAACCAGGAAATGACATAGATGTATATCTTAGTCCTTTAATTGATGATTTGAAGATGTTGTGGGAAACAGGAGTGGATGTATTTGATTCATATCACGAAGTGAATTTCGAGTTGCGTGCAATGTTATTTTGTACTATAAATGATTTTCCAAAGATATGGTAATTTGAGCTGTTATAGTGTGAAAGGTCATTTAGCGTGTCCTATATGTCAAGAAGACACAAGTTATATCCAATTGAAACATGGACAAAAAACTCGCGTACAATAGGCATAGAAAGTTTCTAGTTGCTAACCATCCATATCGTAAAATGAAGAAAGCATTTAATGGATGTCGGAGAATGCAGTTGCATCAGTACTCACGCAATGGTGAACAAGTATATGAGCAAGTGAAAAATATTAATATTGTGTTTGGAAAGACCCAAAAGAAATCCAATGAGAAAAACATTTGGAAGAAACAATCAGTATTCTTCAATCTTCCTTATTGGTGTAAGTTGGAAGTTAGACAATCGTATAGATGTGATGCATGTTGAAAAAAATGTTTGTGATAGTGTAATTGGGACATTGCTTAACATAAAAGGAAAGACAAAAGATGGAATAAAAGCAAGACAAGATTTGGCTGACATGGGTATACGTTCGAATTACATCCACAATCAATTGGAAAACGCACTTACTTACCTCCAGACTTGTCATACTCTATCAAAGAAAGAAAAGAGAAGCTTTTGTGAGTGTTTACGTGAGGTCAAAGTGCCACAAGGATACTCCTCAAATGTTAAGAGTCTTGTGTCTATGCAAGAGTTGAAATTAGTTGGTTTAAAGTCTCATGATTGTCATGTGTTGATGCAACAACTTTTACCAAGTGGCTATTCGAAACATCTTACCAACTTCGTTAGAATTGCTATTACTCTGTTATGTTTGTTTTTCAACGCCATTTGTAAAAAGGTAATTGATCCAAAAAAGTTAGATGAATTAGAAAATGAAGCAATTGTAATAGTGTGCCGCTTAGAAATGTATTTTCCCCTTCATTTTTTGATATCATGGTGCATTTGATAGTCCATTTGGTAAGGGAAATTCGATTATGTGGTCCAATTTTTCTTAGATGGATGTATCCTGCTGAGAGATACATGAAGATCTTAAAAGGATATGTGAAGAATCAAGACAGGCCGTAAGCTTCTATTGTGGAAAGGTACATTGCGTAAGAAGCCATTGAGTTTTGTCAAGGATATATGTCAAAATCGGAACCAATAGGTATTCCTAAGATGAGACATGATGGAAGATGTGAAGGTAAGGGTACTCGAAATTTGAAGATTAAAAATGTTAGTCTGAAAGAAGTTGACCAAGCACATTTATACATATTGAACAACACCGATGAAGTAATCCCTTACATATCACAACACATAACCGAAATAAAGGCAACACATCCACGAATGAATGAAAAATGGGTATTGAATGAACATAACAAAAGTTTCCTTTCTTGGTTTAAAAAAAGGGTATATGTTGAGATTAATGCTTCGTAAACACTTTTGAGACTTGCTCGTGGGCCTAATAGTGATGTCATTACATTTGGTGGGTATGACATTAATAACTATTGTTTCTACTCAAAAATAGAAGATGATAAAGGTAGAGTACAAAATAGTGAGGTCACAATTCAAGCTGAATCTATGCATTTTTCTAGTTCTAAAGACAAAAATCCTATCACAGCTTTCTATGAGTTATTTTGGGGTCATACAAGAGATATGGGAAATTGATTATGTTACTTTTAGTGGTGCCTCGTCTTCAAGTGTAAATGGGTTGAAGGGAATACTGGTGTGCGAACAGATGACCTAGGATTTACTTTGGTTGATTTGAGTAAAGTTGGGTATAAGGATGAACCTTTTATTTTGGCATATCAAGCGAGACAAATATTTTATGTCAAGGATCCATGTAATGAGAGATGGTCAATTGTCCTAGAAGGAAGAAGCATGCACTGAATTCATGAAGATGAGTCTCTAGATATACATGAAACACCTTCATTTTCAAGTAGACCATTTGATGACATAGTTGACAATGAAGTTGATGACATACATGCAATTCGAAGTGATCATGATGAAGGGATATGGGAAAACATACCAACATAATAGGTGTTTATCTTCACATTTTCTAGTTCTTTTTATTCAAACTTATAAAGTATGTTGACTTCATATTGTTTTGTTTTTCGAGATATGTCTGATTCCACAACTGGTACTCGGAAGTGGTAAGTGGCAGTGGCGTGAGCTGAAGTGGTGATAAAGGTAGATCTCGTCACTCTGCTAAAGGGGTTGACAAGCAAGGAGGGTAGCTAGAGAGAAAACTCAAGTTGAAGTTGATCCACGTTCGGTAAGGCATCCGGCCCAAATGCCGCTAAGTTTAAGAGCTATTTGGGACTACTAGCTCGACACCATGTTCCGATTACTACTCCATCTTGGGATGATGTTGAGGAAACCGAGAAGAACCTCATGTGGCAGGATGTTCAGGTATTTCTATATTTGTTGAATACTTTATATATCATTATTAATTGAATTTAACATTTATTGGTCATTTCATAGCAAAATTTTGATGTTCCTAACACCGAGGTGATGAGGAAGAAGATTTTATCCTCCATTGCCATTAGATGGAGGGACTTTAAGACTTTCTTGACACTGGAGTATGTATTTGGAAAGTTTCGAGATGAATCTCCCTGTCTAAAGTATCAAATTAGTGAGGAGGATTGGTTACAGCTTTGTGCCACCGAATGGACCCCTCTTGGCGAGATAAAAGACAAGCCGCCCAACAACGTCGAGGTTGAATGATGCACCTCATGTATTGTCACGAGGAGGGTATGCATTATTGGAGCAACGTCTCATGAAATCCGGAGAAGAGTCGCCAGGAGTTGATTCTACCGACCTTGCATCTCCACCCCTCGCTATCGATGTGGAAGGCAGCCTGACAAAATCTCGATGGACAAATGACTTCGAGTCCGCACGAATCATTGCTCGTAAAATCGTAAGTTATAATGTCAATTTGAATTGATTTTAATTTGAAAGTTAGTGTATGACTTAATTATTGTTAATGTGTTGTAGGATGATTTAGTTGAGCGGCACTCAGCCAAGGATCATTTATTCCTCATGGTCGACAAGATATATTGGCAGCAGCCATAGGAAAACCAGATTACTCAGGACGTGTGCGTGGTGCCGGTGGAACCTGGGGCCTTCGTGATTACTTTGGTCCAACATCACGAAGGACCACTCGCTGACTCTTGCAACCGGGAGGCCTTGCATAAAATGGAGATGCAGTTTGAAGAAAAGTTAAATCAAATAAGGCAATCCTTGCAAGCAAGAGTTTGATGAGAAAATTGAATCTCTCGCCCGCTCTCGAAGAACGAGACTCAAGGAACACCTCAAACAATTGAACATGATATTGTTCGAGTCAGCACTAAAGGGAGTCAGTGCTCGCTACTACTCGTTGATCCTTCAGAGAATATACTCGGATCGATGCATCACACCAAGTGTGAGTTATATGTCGAAGATGACCCCCGCGTCTAGTGGTCGTTGGTCGAGTTTTCGAGGGTGGCTTAACCATCCATGGTGTCCCTCTACAGCCGTGACCGGACACGAGTAGTAGTTGATGAAGTTAATGATGCTAATGCTCCAAAGTGCCTTTTCCTAATGAAGAGATTCAATTAGTGGGCAGGCAAGCGGGACATTCTTGGCTTGGCCAAGACGTTTGGTTATGCCACTATCAGCACGTACCAAGGTAATATATATATATATATATATATATATATATATATACATATTGTCTATTTACTTCTTTTCTAGTATTATAATTATATAAATGTTTAATTAATTGTTATCATTTGTTTAGGAGGACTTGCGTCGTGCTAAGCATAAAAAGCAACCTATTATTGATGAGGATCTAACGTAATGTGATGATGATCCCATCTCTATGTTGTTAGCCGTATTACCACTGGCTGAGGAAGAGACCGTGTCGATACAATGGGATGTTAGAGTGTTTGGAATTGACAATTCCAGATGTTCCATCGTACATTTCCTTGCCCGATGCTTTAGAAATTGTCTGGGAAATTGCATGTTAAACATTTCCATCATACAATCGTGGGCAATGTAAGTCATTTTCATTTATGTTTCTAAGATTATAATAATTATATTCAACTTATAATTAATTGTTTTAGGTACCTTGACAATTTGAGTGTGGAACAAGAAAAATCCGAAGTATACTGATTTATTGAGCCTCAATCCATCCAAAAATCTGAAATACAAAGGTTGGAATCCAACAATATATGCAAACATGGATGAGTGACTCAAGAAGACATATATATTTGGCTCCATACATTGAAGGGTTAGTATTTTGATTTGTATTTTAATTTATATTTTTGTAACTAATTTTTATGTCATACAATGTAGGTCCCATTGGCAGCTAATTGTAATCATACCCCGGATTACACTCGTGGTATGGTTTTGTTCATTACATCTGAAACCGAGTCAAGAAATGAAAAGCTTATTACAAGGGTAACTTTATCTTTTATTCATTAATTATGTTTTTAAATTGTGAATACATATTGAATAATATATGACTTTTTTTCACTTAGAATCGTGTTCTGAACTAATGTTCTAAGTGGAAAACCTAGAACAAAGACATTGCAGTTCATTTATCCTAAGGTTAGAAACTTATTTATATAAGTGAATACCATAATTATTGTTTATATTTCAATTTTGAAAATAATATTATGTTTTTTTCATCATTTCAATGTAATAAGCAAACTGACTCGTTTGAATGTGGTTACTATGTAATGTATTGGATGAGAGCCATAGTTTGTGCGGGTTTAATTGATTCTTGGACTGAGGTAATTACTTTTAACATTAGTTAAGTTTATTTAACTTTATTCATGTTGCATGCTTACAAGAGTCAAATTCATGTTTCGTGTATTTCAAGATCCATCTCCATTACCAGAATCCGAGATTACGTAAATTAGAGAACAATGGGCAAAATTTTTTGTTCTACAATTCTAGTACATTATTTTTTATGTTCTTGTTCATATTATATTGTGTGTATTATGTAGTTTAGTTTAGTTTGTATAGGTAGCTTAGTTTGTATAGGTAGCTTAGTTTGTAATAGATTTTTTAGTTTGTATGTTTGTATTATTTTGTTTTATTATGTAGTTTGAATTATATAATATTATATTTTTAATTTACTAGCAAAAGAAAACTCGCTCTGGACTGTCTGGTTGTAATTTTTGCGGTTTTAGTTGTAAAACGAGTAAATAAACCCAATTTAAAAAAACAAGAAATTTACGTCGCATATTGGTATATACGACGTAAATTTACGTCGCGATATACCAATATGCGACGTAAATTTACGTCGCATATACCATATGCGACGTAATTTACGTCGCATATTGGTATATGCGACGTAAATTTACGTCGTATATACCAATATGCGACGTAAATTTACGTCGTATATACTCGTATGCGACGTAAATTTTCTGTTTTTTTTTTTAAATTGAAAAGGTTTTTACGTCTGTTTATTGTATATGCCACGCAAAATTACGTCGTATCTTCATAACTGACGTAAATCTACGTCGGGTAAAAGGGTCCGACGTAAATTTACGTCTCCCGCTTTTACGTCGGACTTAAATACGACGTAAAAAGCCCTAAATACCTGACGTAAAAGCCCCTTTTTGCACTAGTGTATTAAACAATATATGGTACCAACCAGAGGAAGTTTTTCCCATCGATGGCATTCCGGAACAAAGGCAACATGCCTTCTGGGTTCAGGTTGATCCCAATTACTACCACATTGCCAAAAAACTGCAGGTGAATCACCCTAACCCTATTCTTGTATACGAAAACAAAAGATATATAAAATACAAATGATATGTTATTTGGACGAATAGAAAAAAATAAGAAGCAAGAAGTGGAGAAATTTCTTTGCTTATTTGGATGGGTAAAAAATGGTGTATTTAATAAATTTTATGTTATAAAAGTCATTTGATTTTGTAAGAAACTAAAACAAAACATGAGGGACATAATATATATCTTTTCAAGCCACTTTTTTGTTCTTTTTATCATGTTGTACTTCATTAATTATTTTGTATAAACAACGTAGAGTAAATGGTTCGATGGTGCCAAAACAATTTGTTTCTGTCTGAAGATATTAAATGGGATTTTTGTTTTATTTATTCTGAGTCACATCATGCGTATATATAGATATATAAAAGGTCTCTTTTTGATAGGCGAATACAATTGTCAAATTCGACTAAAAAACATGGTTGAATAATTAATCAATTTGAGATGATAACGCTTGTGCCGGCCGAGGAGTTATTTTATTGCGTGACGTCTTCGCAGGTTACCACTTTTGTTTTATCATATTAATATTTCAGATGGTGACTTTGAATTTTCAAATTATTATGAAAATGACTTTCACAACGTGGGTTTAGAAAATGAGAAAGGCTTAAATAATTTAAAATTTTTAATATATTTTTTGATTTTGTTTTACATGATTAATGGAAGATAGTGTGATAATAAAGAAACAGTAATTAACGTGGTAAATGTTCAGGACTTGGAGTTAGAGTCGTGCATAAACTCGACGACATGCTTAACAACAACACCGAAGGTGAAGTTTGTGAAGAGAGGAATTAGCCAAAGCATCTACTTAGACAATTCAGCGTACAGAACATTCATCTACGACAAATTTGAAGTGAGTCCAGTGGACATGGAAAGTGCATCCGTGGCTCTTATATGCCTTCAACAAAGGGTACCCTTCATTGCTTTTAGGGCTCTCTCCGACTTGGCCGGTGGTGGCTCCGCCGAGTCCAACGAAGCTGATACCTTCTTATCCATCGCCGCGACTAACTCCGTCACCGTCGTCATTGAGTTCGTAAAGCTCTTGTCACTCCACTCTAAGTGGTGGTCCATGTAATACATCGTATTTCAATATTAACTCTTCTATGCACATGTAATAGACAACTTCACCCTAGGTTGTTTCCGAATAATAAGAACGTGCATTCAACTTTAAACCAAAACATTAATCTCTTCGTAACTTTGCAAGGCTTTTTCCTAAACTAATGGAGATTTAGTTGTTATAAAGTTTATGAATATTTTATATCTACAATATGATTATATATATATATATATATATAAAATAATAATTAAAGGAGTGTTTTCAAGTAACCTTGCAAGTTTTTTTAAGTTTATTAAACATAAACAACCTTTAGCATGCAATAAGGTGATGTATAATATTGTTACACGTTTAAATATTGTAAAACATTTTATAAGTTTTATATTAAACTAATGATTTAATCAAAACATAAATAAATTTAACTGAAGATTATTTAATCTAGTCAATGTCAAAGATTTTTTATTTTTTTTAAGAATTAAACTCGAGTATTGTCTAAATAAAAAAAATGTATTTAACTTTAAATTTAATAGTAATATTTGGTTTTAAATTGTTACGTGCTACATGTTCTTTAATATAAATCTCTACAATAATTGTACCTATACAATATAAAAACATCTGTGTAGAGTTCCTCATAATATTGTTTATTTTTAAAATATTGTTTATTAAAATTTTCAATACCACGTGGTTGAATTTCTTAATTTTATAATTGCATCCTCATAGACTAATTGAGGGCACCATTATTCGTCATCTTGCAGAATGATATTTCTTAAAAGATTTCCATCACTTTCCTCTTAAACTACTTTAGATATTATTAATTAGTTTATTGTTTAACCTTAACATGATATCAGTCAAAATTTAACTTTTTTTTCTTGTCCTGAATTAAGATTTGTCATTTGTGGATAAAAATACCTTTTACTTAATCCATATTGTCAATTAAAAATAAGAGTAAACGTAAAAAGTAACACTCTTAAAATAACTTGATAGTTTTTAATAACTTTTTTACAAAAATCAAACAAACACAGCAGTCAATACTAAACTATATTCATGATTTTTATTTATAGAAAAAGAAAAGTATTGAATTTCGTGTACTTTCTTCCTGATTACTTTAACCAAGAAAATCGTACGGGTTCGGAAAAAAAAATCTATTGATACACATCGATGAAAGAAAGAAAAGAAAGAGGGATTTTCTTCTTGCTACTCCATAATTTCTTTCTATATATTTAAGTAAAATAATTAAAATATACTTTTTAAAATATTTTATAAAAGTTTTGCATCTTTATGGCTCATCTTCTATATCTTTATAGATATTGCAAATTTGATTAATATAACCTTTATTTAAGATAGTTTTCAGTTTCCAATATTTAAAGGTGAATAATCATTAATATTATGTATCTGGTTAAAATTTGATCGATTTTGATTAAATCAGAGAGTTGAGTTTTAACCAAATTTCAACCACGTAGATTCTTTTTTACTTAGGCTAGCAAACGGTTTTCAATAAAAAATGCATGAGAATCGAAAATCTCATAGTCTCAAAAAATGCAAACAACACAACCTAGTATGCAGATTTACAATCGAAAGTACTATTTTTCGTATTTTTTTATTAAGAAGCGTGAAGTAAAGAAAGCAGCAAAGAGTATCGAAATGACAAGCAGTGCAGAATATTAAATTGTCGAGGAATGTAAATGACAATGAATTAAAATTGCAAAAATATAAATGACGAAGAACTTAAACGCAGAATTTTAACCTGCATAAAGGTAAAATGACAAAGAATTGAAATTGCAAAAATATAAATGATGAAGAACTTAAACGTAGAATTTTAACTTGCATAAAGGTAAAATGACAAGGAATTGAAATTGCAGAAATGTAAATAATAGAAAATCGACATTGCAAGAACGGTAAATGCAGGAGAATTTAAGTACAGAATCTTATATTGCATTGAAGGAAATGACAAAAATTTAAAATACAGGAACTTAAATTGATGATTGTAAATAAGTTACCAGAGAAAGTAAAGAAAACGGTAAAAATAGTCAATGAGAATGGAAATCCAGATCGCCAGAAACTTCATGATTCGTCGTTCTCCGGTAGACTTTTCACTTGTGTTTCGGTTGTCTCTACCAATTTCCCCTTCTTCTTCAAGCTTCGTTCTATTTATAGGCATCCTTCAATATAACTTCCTGAGAGCAGTTTTAAAACTGTCACCACGTTCCATGTGCACGATCCTCGATTTTTATCTTAGTTTATGTTTTAGGAAACCACTTCCACGTTCCCATATGCATGATAACCATTTCCCTCGATCTCGATTTCAATTGTCAAGTATGATTTCCCTTAACCTTGACTTTACACTCCACACTTTATCATCGATTTTTTACTTTCATCGAATTTCTTCTATCTTTTGATTCTCGATTTTTATTCTCAATTTATGTGTTCACACTGTCTGGTGGTCATCGAATGTCTTCTAACCACCTTTCCGATTTATCAACTTTTTAACCAATCATATGATCTTCGATTTTCTCTTTTACGTTTTTTCGATCCTTGTATCGATTTTTTACTAACAAAATGCCCCATTGGAAGAATATAAATATTTGTACCAATTTTATATTCTTTCAAAATAACTCCCGCCCTTAAACGTTCTTTGAAGCTCGAAATAACTTCTTAGGGTTTAGGGTTTCTGGGGTTTTAGGGTTTTTCTACTTTATGTCAAATATCAAATCACATCACCTCTATTGTCACAACGCGCACACCACGAATTAATTACCCTCTTCACATTCGTCGTTTCAAATACCCTAGTCGGCCTCTTTAAATATTCTTATCAGTTTTTTACCACGAACCTCACTTCTTCTTCGTTGCACCTCTTCTTCGTCTTCAACCTTCGTCTTCAACCTTTCCACCAACTGTAATGGTGACTTCTAAATCCTCTGATTTCTCCGCCCCACCACTTTCCTCGGTGACTTCAACCCTGATAGAGATTAATGGGAAAAAGTTTGCTCCAGTACCTTTGATGGAAGAGGCTTCTCAGAAGATTGCTGAGACTCAGGTACTTATCCCTTACGCTGTTGATAGTATAGATTATGCATTTGGTGGTCTCATCCGCTACTGTGGAGGATCGTTTTCTTCTTCCCTCAGAAAGTAAAGCCCTTATTCACAAATCTGAAGTCCGAATTGATTTCCTAACTGCTGTTTCAAAAGTATATCGAACGGGCCCTCCCCACAAAAAACCTTTGTACATTAGATGGTTTGATCGAGTAAAGACCAAATTTGGGAACCACTGGAGAGATGTAGGGATCTTCGATTTTCTACATTTATCTCGATGTGATCTATCATTCTTAGATATGTCTATGTTTTTGTCTGCGGTCCATTTGTGGAATAAAGATCTTCATGCAATGGAACTTCCCTGTGGTCCCCTTTCTCTGACTCTTTTTGAAGTTACTGCAATCACTGGATTAAAACCTACAAGGGAGAAATATTTTAAGGGTGTTTTCCCCTCAGATGACTCTCTAAGATCAAAAATCGATTGGGAATCGAAAGCTTATGGACATTTCATCGAAAAACATTTTGTCGATGATCAATCGGTAGCTGTTTCTGACGAAGAGCATGTGGCCTTTCTGGTATATTGGCTCTGTACCCACGTATTTTGCCCCCGATCTATCCAAATCTCATCCCACTTCTATAATCTTGCCTACCTCCTCCATACTGGTCAGCCCAGAGTTTGTTTGGCAAAGCTTTTATTGGCCCATGTTTATATTACTTTCGATGAGGCCGTCGACATCTTGAGTACCCCAAGACCTTTAGGGAATTTTTCGGGTCTCATCTGGTTTGTTTAGTTATGACTCACTTCAATATTTGAAAGCATCCTTCCCCCAACATCCAAAATTTCCTCAAGTTTAAATTTAGAAGGCGCTCGATTATCATCGTGACATCCTCACCAAAAATCCTCTGACGAGGCCAGTTATCGAGCTTACCTGAAATTTTTTTTGACCCAATTTCATTTTGAGTCAAATTTGGCCCCTTATACTGTATACCATGGAAAAGTTAGTGACAGACTTCGAGGGCCATCTTGGTTTAAATCAAAATTCTCTGCTCTTACTCCAGGATTGCAATCGGAATTAATAGATGTGTGGAGTAATTACTTGACCCAGGATGTTCTTGTATCGGGTTTTCAATCGAAGGATATCCAGCTCGTCATCTATTATCCCCAGCTTTTTTCGCGGCAGTTTGGTTTAAGTCAGACTTTTCCTTTTTTCTCTCTCGATACTTCCTCAAGGTCAAAATTAAATGAATCGAATGTTGGACGGGAACTTGCCAAACTGTTGCCACAAAACCCAATGCATTTCTATCCTTATACTTTTAAGTCAAATTATTTATCTACTCTTGGTTTTTCTCAATGGTGGAACGATTGGTTTACACGCATTCATTCTAGTTTTGATATCGTCCAATCAAAATTGACTGCGCATCCTTCTCTCGTGTTGCAGGATAAATCGAAGGCAAAGAAAGATACATACTCTCATTATCTCCAAATATCTCGATTCAAAATTTTTTATCGAGAATGCTACAACCCCCTCAAATTAGAAGAAACCTTTTACAATGTTGTTATCTCCTTAGTTAATAAAACAGATACCAACCGATCAAACCACAAAATAATCAATCCTCGAGGAAAAACTTCGTTTGAAATGTATTGTCCCAACCATCTTCCCACTTTTCCTACAGCTCCCTTTGGAATCGCCAAACCTTTAACTCATCCAAAATGGGTCCGAGAGTTAAGATCCTTGAAAGAAACAATTTCACTCAAACCCAAGAACAAAGAGATTTCGATATCGAAACTGTCCTACTTTTCTTACCTAAACCTCCCTCAAAATCTTCTTCCTCCCTGGCTTGTCCATATCGACTGAGTCAAGATTTTAACTCTATAACCTTTTGGTGAGATTTTACTGCCTCTTTTAGGAGTGTTTTTAATTTTCTTTAAATTGTAATCTAACTATTTTCCTTTCTCGACAGTTTCGAAACCCCATAAAGTCGCTACCTCT